AAGTGGAAGGTAGAGAACGTTGGCTTGTGAAAGAAACGACTATCGTCTATCAACACAGTTACAGGAGATTTAAAAATTGTGTACCTCGAAATTACCTCCAGGGCATTTCTTTTTGTGTGTATTCACCAAGCACGGTTCCTAGGCGGTAGGGGAGGGGATTGAAACTTAGCTGTCGCCCCCATCAGCATTTTCCTTCGCTAACTCTGCCAATCTTATCTCGCTTCATGGGTCGCTTTTTTAGCCTTTTTATAGGGTTACAATCATAGCTCATTTCGGTGAACACCTCGCCTATAAATAGCGTTTGAGCTTTCTTTCTCCAGCCTTGAGCCGGTCTCGGAAGCGATGAAGTCCATGAGGAACCTCGCTCACCCTGGCTCAGGGGAAAACTCCGTCCATTCAATGACACGCTCCGCCCACTGTGAGCAAGTCACCCTTCACTTCAAATGCGCTTACACCTCAGGCATTGCTCAACTCCTTTTTTTCTGCTTTACATGCCGCCTTATAAACGAGTTATGATTATCCAGTAAGCATCACCCGTCTAGAGGGCACTTCTACCACCGCGGAGGTTTTCTCAAATTTGAACTAACCTCCCTTTGCACCTTTTTTACCTTTTTTCCCGGCGTCTTGATTCTTTTGGAACCTTTTTAAAAACTTTCACTGTTAACATCTCCCATTTCGGCGCATGCCCGCTGACGGGGTTCCGCTTGACCCATGTGTGTTTCGTACTTCTTGGCTAATGTCCCACCCTACCCAATGTGATCCGGCCTTTCTGGGTCTTCATATTATGCCAAAGCTCGTGAGGCAGACAGGTAGCATAGTAAATAGGGTGAAAACAGACATGCAATATCCGATAGCGTGGCATGTCTACACTTCCTCACAGGCTGGTATTTCAGGTGACATAGGGAATTATTACTATGGACAGGGGCATCCCATGAAGCCCTCATCGTATACGTATGACTCACAACTTATTGCTCAATTATGGGCTTTACCGGAAGCTTGAAGTTTACGTGAGTATTTCTCATTACCATGCCCATTGACGTCTATGTATAGTCTGCATTTTTCGTTTAGAGACCAACACCGGCCACGTTTGAAGAGATGACCAAGTACCACTCTGATGACTACATGATGTTCCTTCAAAAACATTCGGCCGGACAACATTATCTGATTATACGAAACAAATGCAGCGCTTCAATGTTGGGGAGGTATGGTCTCCACCTTTTTGTTTATTTGCTTCTGGAGTCAGTCTTCTATTACATATTTAAGGACTGTCCTGTCTTCGATGGGGTTTTTGAATTCTGTCAGCTATCTTGTGGAGGATCGCTAGGTGAGAATTTTATTTGACACTCCATCACTGCGGCAGGTGGTTTTTCTTTTGAAATAATTTTCTTTTCCAGCTGCTGCAACAAAGCTTAACCGCAAGCATGCAGATATTGCCATTAATTGGATGGGTGGTCTTCATCATGCGAAGAAGAGTGAAGCTAGCGGATTTTGTTACAGCAACGACATCGTATTGGCCATATTGGAGTTACTCAAACATCATCAAGTTGGTTTCGTTCAATAAATTCACGTTGGCCTGCCTCATGAATTATCTGTTATGCAATGGAAACCAGCAATGGCCTCACGGCTAACACTTAAGACCGCCGTCACACTCGGCGACGGACAAGCGATGGAGCGACGTACGCCATTCTTGCCATGTGTATGTCCTCGCCGAGTGTGACGGCGGTCTAGAATGTTTCATGAGACTAGTCGGCATTCAGGAGTCAGAATACCCGGACTTTACAGCACCGCAGCAACCGCCGGTGTTTCCACCACACCATTTCTGTAATCCTTTCCACGTTGTTGCTTGCTTATCCTGAATACTGTTCGTGCTTTGTTCTTTGCGCTGTGCGATCGGTAGGTAATGCTCTAAAACATGTTGGTCACTGTTCATAGCAAAAAAGGCTTCGTGTTTTGGTGGTCGGCTCGGTTTCTCTACAATTTTAAGTCCGGGGCTAAGTCGTGTTTAGATGGTGGGACATGCTGGTCGCATAGCTATCATCAATGAAGAACCACGGAGATTATTTTCTAGAGGACCCATTATATGGCACTTTTTGCCTTTGAGGAACTCACGCAATTTTCGATCAGTCACTTCTTTCCGAATAAAGTGACAGCAATTATTCTGGAACTCGGTGACTGTTCTGATCTGAATGCACTCAGTAACTGCGAGCCTCGTTTGTACAGAGGCCGTTATTCACTGAATTGGTGAGCGGTTGCAAGTGAGTATCGCCTTCATGGCTGGCACGTAAAGCTTGAGGTGCAACAATTCTCTGGCATACCTCTTAGTGGCGGTGGGGACGGGGGCAGCGACCGATAGATGAAACCGTGGATGGCGAACCGACTGGAAATTAGAAAAGAGCCGCAGCAAATCACCGATGAAGCATCAACAGGTTTCCCCTCTCTTCCTTCTTGGAATAGGGAGGTGTGGAGCCGTGCGAGTTGTACGAACTTGCTTGCTCCACGGCTCCAGTAACCCGCGCATATTTAAATTAGCCGCTACACCGGAATCCGCGTTGCGTTTTTGGGGTATGCTTGAGGTATCTTGTCTGCAAGTTCACATTAGTCGTCACAGATCACTTTGAAAGGCCCTAATGCCATTGTCACGCACCTTCGAGCCGTTAGACGGCACCTCTGCGATACGTGTGGGCTACTCTATCTCACCCACAAAATGCTGTTGGCCAAGGTTGAAATATAATATTTAACATATTCTTTTGATGAGAATAGCATAAGGGCTGCTTGCCTTCCATTTCAAGGTAATGTTCAGAAAGTTAATCAGTGTGGTTTCAGCGTGTTCTCTACGTCGATATTGATATTCATCATGGCGATGGAGTGGAGGAGGCCTTCTACACCACAGATAGAGTCATGACTGTGTCGTTCCACAAATATGGAGAATACTTTCCCGGAACCGGTGATCTTAAGGTATCATATTCAGCGATTTTTTCTTCTAACGGAATGCGTCAAATTAAACAACAGCAAAGATCTCGGGGTTACTCAGCCTATCTTCCTTATCCATTTCAGCAAATAGACGGATCATATTTCTTGATATTTTCTCCTCTTAGTTGTTATCTCCTCGGTAACGTATCGATAATGAACACATTGTTTTTTGGGCCCTATAATTTATACAGACCGCTTCAGAACATGAAAACGCGCCAAACAGTTCACGAAAAACAGGTCTCCTCCATGTTCAAGTGTGGTACAGCGTTAGATCACACGATCGTCAAGGTTTAAGGGTGACCACATGTAGTAACTTGTACTACGTATTGTACTCCTGTTCGACCAAGTGTATTGTTCTCTCTAGAACTGTCCAGGCTTACTGTTTTCTACGAAAACATGAAAAACCTCGCATAACGTTGTTATACTTTCAAATTTAATCTTTTTATGAGATTCGCGCTTCGATTGATACTTTTTTCTTGTTGTTATGGAACTAATCGGTATTTACTCTGAGTTCGAATTATAATAGGATGAAATATTTAAGGACATCGGAGCAGAGAAAGGGAAATATTACGCACTCAACTTTCCTTTACGTGACGGCATTGATGATGAAACATATGAGGTTAGATACTGTTTTTATTTGTTTGTTCTGTTATGGAGGATATTGAATACTTTTTTATTCCAGAGCATCTTCACTCCCGTAATACGCAAAGTTATGGAATGCTTCCAACCGTCAGCCATAGTTCTGCAATGTGGCGCAGATTCACTTACAGGCGATCGACTTGGATGTTTCAACCTGACTTTAAGAGGTGATTTTTCTTTATGCGATTCTTCGTGATTGTTTAAATAGTATCAAAAATTAAGAATAGTATTCCTTAGCTTTCTCTAGAGTTGGCGAGGCACTGAGATTGCTTCGAGAGCAAAGTTGATTTGTGGGCGGGTTGGAGATTGCAGAGTTATTGAAAAAATTGAAGGAGAAACAACAAAGGCAGTCGAACTGCAGACAGATAATTCGCTTTCGCGAAGATGACCGATTTTTTTCTGTCACTGCATTTTGCTGTATCTAGTGACGGCCCGTATCTTCTGAAGTTGGATTATCCAATATAGTCCCTCCCATCGGCTCATAACCAAGATAGATCATGTAGTTTCCAAGAGTTTTTGTTTCACAACCATTCTTCACGATGCCATCGATCAGGAATTCTAATTCACCGATTTCACCGAGGCTTTTTCCTTCCTAGATACCTGAACTGATGCTATACTTGTCTCTAGGGTGTGTTGACTCGACGATATGGCTCCGCCCCTGCCCTCCCCTGCCCTCTCTCCTTTCCCAAGTTTTTTTTTTGTTTACGAATATACGAATTTAGATGTGTATATTCTGGATTAAAATCGAATTGTGCGGCTGATACTATAGGTGCCCAATAGCTACACCTGGTAGATGTGAAAGACAAATTGAACTGAATATTTGAAGTTGTCGAATTCATAATAACAAGGAGAAATTCCAGGGCACGGTAAATGTGTTGCATTTCTGAAAAAATTTGGTGTTCCTTTGATGATGGTTGGTGGTGGAGGATATACAATCCGCAATGTATCTCGTTGCTGGACTTACGAAACTTCTGTGGCTGTTGAGGCTGAGATCGCTAATGGTCAGTTTTTTTTTAAATGAGTATTTGGCTAGTGAAATAAACCGTCATGAGAAGTTTGTTTTAGAACTGCCCTACAATGACTACTTTGAGTATTTTGGACCAGATTTCAAGCTCCATATAGAAAAATCAAACATGACCAACCAAAACACCAGAGATTATTTGGAGAAGACGATGGTTAGTCGTGAGTTGACCAGAATTCGAATAAAATCATAATATTGTTCTCCTCTTAGGTGCGACTGTTTGAAAATCTTCGTGAGTTGCCGTATGCACCATCCGTGCAGATGCAGCCGATTCCACCAGACTCTCTGCACATATGCCGGATAAAGTCTTTGCTGCTTGATCATTCGAACCCAGATGTAAGTTATTTTCTCGCAGAGTTTTGGGTTGGTGTTTTTTCCCTGGCAGCATTTGCAAAATTTACCTACTTTTAATGGTATCAAAATTACATGAGGCTTCAAGCGGAGGGTTTATGACTTGCAGTGATTGGTTTTTTTTCTTGTTGCATTGAATATAGCGTTTCTTTCGGTCATTATGCGTTGTTCATCTATGTTGCTTCAGGTTCGGGAACCTTTTGCAGTCACGGACTCGCACATTGAACACGAGGCGGAATTCTACGATTCTGGCAAAGAAGGTACCAGGGAATCACAGGTATTTAGTATAAATATCTATGTATATATTATTTATTGTAATAATATTTGTCTGTGTTGCCTCTCGATTCCTGTCCGATTTTTGTTCAAATCTCTTCAAGTCAATTTTGCGTCACTGCGAACTGTTGGTATGTCCATGGATGCATCAGAGTCAACCAGGAGATTTCGGAAGGTCAAAGGCTCGAAGCTAGATTGATCAACTGGAGCTGTGATTAGTTCAAACGGCAACAAAACGTCCTCATTGAGGTTGAAACAAAACGAATGTTCTGTTCTCAAATGAACGAGCTAGTGTTTCAGTCGCAGTGACAGCGATACGAGCTGTAAAGATTAATCTTTTCCTGGCATGCCTGATGGCTTCCTCACACCCTGGACCATCATTTGTTGGATTGACTGTTTTGATAACCGCTTTGCTATATGCAGACAAGAATTACGAATGTTATCGTGAAACTAAGTGCCGAAGATGGCTGCAGCAACGCGAGAGAACCATCCTAAAGATCTCCAAATCTCTTTTCTCCCAATGAGCTCTCGATCTCTTATTGTAGTGACATCTCGCCGCGTTTTGAGGGAAATTGGCTAGTCCACAATACCATGTTCCCTATATAGCCTCTAAGTTACTCCACAGGACTGTACCTTCACCTTGAAATAGCAACTGCTCAAGAAAACAGCCAGCGAGTACAACTTCCCTGTACCTCACCCCTCCTCCCGCCAAAAAATTACCATGCTGATTTCTTCAACACCTTGCTTTACTAATTCCGGGAGACAGCACTCAAAAGTACTTTGACAAATGGCACATCAACGGCTATTGCCAGAGGTTTATGTTTTGCGTGAACTGATTTTAGGAAAATAGAACTTGAAGGGATGGAAGTGCCGAAATTTGGGTAGAAATTATGGTCTAGCCTAATTTACCCGTTACCCGTTGTTTGACGTTCATCGTCGTTCTTCTACTAAAATAAAATCTGCAGCAGCTACAGCACTGCTGTGTTGACTTACTGCTTGTTGGATGCTCTTTTCTCAATCGTCACTTCTTTTCAGAGCTACTAAACGGCCTGCCGGGAGTCCACTCGTGAAGCGCGGCGAGTGACAGGAAGCGAAACTGAGATAGAGGTGTGCCCGCAAGTTTAAGGTTGTAAAGGAATGATTGCTATTCAGTTCTCAAACCTAATCGAATGTGGCTTGAATCATTTGCAGTAATTATTCAGCGACTTTGTACCATAGTCTGGTGTACGGTGATTTTTAGTTTACCACTGTTATATTATGCATTTTCCTCACTAGTGCGCATTATTTCTGAAAGTAATTCACTCATTCATTTGACACCGTACCTTCTATCCGGTTCGAGAAAGTCACCGTACTCTGGACTCTAGGAAATCTTACGGTTTAATCACGCGGGGTAATCTCCAGCAACTTTTATCAGTACTGCTAAATCTCTCGTCATGTAATTACCATGATCTTATTCGTTCGTCGAACGCAAGCGTCGGTGTTAAACACGGGCTGGATCCTCCCCGAATGTTTTGGGAATCTTAAACATCAAACGTTTATGATGAATAATTTTGTCTAGGCTACGGTATTACTGAAGTGAATGTGATTATTTTCAATCTAATGTTTACGATATGATCTTCACATTGTACGGTTTCATTTTGTCCTTTTGTATTAACTTCTCTCCATATGCGATGTGCTAACGTTTTTGGAATTGTTGTTGAAGGAACATTTCATTTTTTTGTGGATTCGATTGTAAAAGTTCAAGTTGTATAATTTCCATCGATTTGATCCCGTGTTTGGCGAGATTATGGGGTATTGAATACCCGGAATACTTCGGTTTTGAAGTCCATGCTGTTTCGCTCTCTTGCTCTCTTTTTATAATGCAGATATGTTGACGGGATTGCAACTTAGTGCTTCGGATTATAGTAAGGCTTTCGGGCATAAGGGTAAATTCGGTCACGATGTTTTTGGAGTTTGAATTTCGACCGAATGGGCAGCTGCGGTATGCCAACAATTCCAATTACAAGAACGATACAATCATTCGAAAAGAGGTAAGAGTCTAGTGGAGGTTTCCATCGTCAAATCTTTAGATATTTTGTTCCATTCTAGGCATTCATATCCCCTGCAGTACTACAGGAATTGAAGAGAATCGTTGAAGATTCTGAAATCATGCAGGTTTGTCCCTATTTTTTGTTGTACGAATGCTTGCTATACCTTATTTCATCTAATCGAATGGCGTTGTTTTTCAAGGAAGATGATGCCAATTGGCCAGAACCGGACAAAGTAGGACGGCAAGAGCTGGAGATTTTGATGAACAATGAACACATCTCGTTCACAACAGGAAAAATTGGTTCATTGGCAGACGTAAACAACAGCAAGGTGTGTCATCTACTTGCTTTTGTAGTTTTCATTCATTAATAACGCGAAAAATCGAAACAAATTTTCAAGGCGAAGCTCAGGTAGACATTGCCGATGTGCATTTGGCTAATGGTGGAAAGGAAGTCGATCGAAGGTCTATATTTATGTTTTTCCACGTTCGAGATGAGTGGAGTTGTCTATCAATGCGATTTCAGGCATTATACTGGATGGGGGTGGGGCGCGAATCACTGAAATTTGGAAAAACTTTGCTGAAGAATAACGACGGGTTGGAAATTAATATGCAACATTTACATCACCTACTTTTATACAGGCCTTAAGTCACTTAGGAGAGGAATCCGTCGTGGCAAGCAAACAGTTTTTCTAGATTAATCGTACTTCTTCCAAGTAATGAAGTGTAGTAATTCGCGATTTAAAGTAATCTTTCTCAAACAGCGGATTTGGCGCGTCACCTTATGCAGGAAAAGCGCCACCTCAAATGTGTTAATTTGCTAACAAGTGGGAAACAATTGTTTCGAAAAGAGAGGGAATGTCCGCTCTCAAAGTCAAAATCCAAGATGTTTCCACATAATTTATTTCAGGATCCTGATGGTCTTCGTTCGTTTTACTATCTGGTTCAGGATCTCAAATGTCTTGTGTTTTCTTTGATTGGACTTCATTTCAAGATCAAACCTATTTAAACTACGAGACATCGTCTCATGATGTCTTATGAATTTATTCGTTGTATAATTAACTTAATGTGAGAGTATTGTCGTGTTCATGCTGTTACACTCGACTCTACGTTTTTACGCGTTGTTTCCAATAAATTTCAATATTTAATGAAGGACAAGTTTATTGATGAATTCATTATTCTAAGATTAGAAATGGTTAATAATGCAAAATTGGTACATCTCATTCAAAATTCGGGGATGAAGTAATGACAAAAGTTCATCACACTCAGCGGCGCTCGCAGTATTTTGCAATGTAGTCACGTGCACGGTGCGTGAATTGTTCACGATTGGTTGACCAGAGTTGTGCAGCTTGCATGTTCAGCGCGTCGTCAAAGTCGATGAGATCCGTGAACAACGATGATAGGCCATGAATCACCTGAACGATTTAGCATTACATTTCCCAACATTTCCCAAATCTCTTTATCCTTATCTCCCAAATCTATTTTTACATTCTTCTAAGTAAGAAGTTTTACAGGCCAAACAGCATCAATCTGTCGTGATCGCCACAAAATTACTAGCTTGATGAACCAGTGTCTAAGTCAGTGCTTAATTTCCCAGATGGTAGCAACTAAACGGCCCAAGGATGTAGAGCTTAGTAGGCTCGGTCGGAGTTCGACCTAAAAAAGACACCTCGTGTTGAGCAGCGCCACTTCTCACAACGCCAATTACGGTCAACTCTCACAACAACGATCCCCATCACCCACTTGCCTCGCGTTATTCGATTTCATGATTTGAGAGTTGGCTATTTTGGAGTTTGTTCTACGATGGTGAGGGGGCCTATAAACAGCAGTGGTTCGAAGCAGCTTCCCTGCTAAGGTGGGAGGACCCCCCCCCTTCAGCAGGCAATCCAAAGGTTCATCCGAGTACAGAAATAATGAAATGTCTTTCAAATCGAATAGTTTTCATTCGTGGCAAAAAAATAGACGCACAGTTGATTGAAAATGAATTTTTTCGGAGATGAGAGTATTGCATGGGTTGAACAGGATTTAGGCGAGTTACAAAAATTTTAGAAGTCCTATAGTTTAATTTCATCGGTACCAATATTACCAAGAATATATTCATCGGATTTTCAACAATGTAAGTGCTTACCTAGCTCGAAAAAGTCTTCATTTTAATCTGAAACTACTTTCTGATTGAGGGCACCAACGTCTATACCCTCGAATTGGGAAATGGAATCATAGCTATTGGAATATACGATAATCCGCTATTGCATCTTGATGACTCTTGCGCACCGGACAAATGTCATTTTTCTAGACATTTCGAATACTACCATAATAAGGTTCTGATTAAGGATCTCTGATACTTTTAGCCTAATTCATACTGAGCAGTGAGGGCTTGAAAACTGAAGAAAATATACGAATCAGTGAAAAAAAGCAATGTACGCTTAAATAAACCTCAGTAAGATTCCTCGTCGGTCGCCATCCAAAAGCATCCAGAGAATTTTCTCGGAGTATCGATAAACAAATGCTGCCATCTTCGTTTATATTCGGATGGAAAACCCGCGTCAAACATTTTACAGTTGGAGGCTGAAAGCATTAAGG